GCCCTTAAAGTGAGGTCCCAAAAGCTGTTTCTGCCCATACTGTATACCCTCTCCTTCCCCTCACCTCCCCCCAGTCCCCCCTCCCACGCCCCCACAACCCCTGCCACCTTGCCTTTTCTCCACCTCCATCCTCCACAGTGGGCACAAGCAGGCCCTCAGACAACCTAGAGAGAGGCGATGTATGGGTTACATCCAAATCCCCGGTGAAGGGAGGGGAACCAGGAGCCCGTAAAGGAGGTTGACCACCGCGAGTGACCAGGATCCACTTGGGATGAACTGGGGAGGTCACTGACCCATGAGAAGCTCAGGCCTCTGGGCTGCATCCTTAGAGTTTACAGGTTGGAGCAAACTTGCCTAGCCTCGCAGGCGCGCCCAAGTTCACTGCCCAGCCCGCGCGTGCAAGCGCAAAAGGGTGAAGAGCTCTGCTCCTGGCTCTGCACACCCTGAGCTGCCAGGCGGCAAGGGAGGGGGCGGGCGGCGAGAGGGGGTTGTTGAGCGCGCAGGTCCCGCCTCCCCTGGCCCGCGTGCACACACGCCCACCGCGGCTGGGCTGGTGGAGCGCGGGCGAGTGTGAGCACAGGCGAGTGTGAGCGCGAGTGTGCGCACGCCGCGGGAGCCACTCTGCCCTCTCTTCGCACCCTGCTCAGGGCATCTCGAGAGCCTGGAAACGTGAACAGGCTTAAAGTATGGCATGTTGCGAAGATGGTTTCTGTCCAGAAGGTACCCGCGATTGCGCTGTGCTCCGGGGTCAGTTTCGCCCTCCTGCACTTCCTGTGCCTGGCGGCTTGGTGAGTTCGGGGGAGGGGGATCCTAAGCTGGGGATGCATGGGGAAGGTGGACAAGTGTCCAGATCCAGACGCCTTCTGGCCGTCTGGCCATCTCTGAGCAAACCAGACCTTCCTGTCTTCGCTCTAACAACATGGGCTGAATCCACGATTGCCTTTGACTGCCTTTGACCGCTTAGACGCGACAGCACTGGGACGTCGGGTCCAAGAGCGCTGATGTCAGGATACGTGTTGTCCTGGGGTGCATGCTGCCCGAGGGTGCGTGCTTACTGGGTGTGCTCTTTTCCTGGCCATTTCACTCCTCCTTGTCCCAACCCCCAACCCTCCTTTAGCTTAAGGCCAGCGACTCTTTCCCTAGAAGGCAAACCTTTCTCCACCTGTTCTCAGATCTATTCTTAAAATAGTATTTTCCACCCCCGTTATTTTTGCGCTTGCAGTTTAAACGAATCCGCAGGACAGAACCCAAAGGAGGAGAAATTGTGCCCAGAAAATTTTACCCGCATCCTGGACAGTTTGCTGGATGGTTATGACAACAGGCTGCGTCCTGGATTTGGGGGTATGAACTGTTTCAAAAATGCAAGTGTGCTGTGTCTGTCCGTCTCTGGTCTGCCTGTCTATCTGTGGAACTATCGTTAGGTACGCCTCACGTGCAAAAAATGAAAATCAGCCTCTCTATTTCTTGTCCCCCCAACCCCCTTTCTCTTTTCCTCTCCTCAGTAAGACCTATGACAAGAAGACCGCCCCCACCCGTACTTTCCCATCTCCCTGCCCCCTCAGAAGCTTGGCCTCCCCCACGTTAATTACCTCCTGAGACCTGACTGCAGGGTGGGGGAGGCTGGAAAGTCAAAAATGAAGTCAGAGCTGCTGCGCTGTGGCTGCCCGGCTCTCTGAGCTGGGAGCATGGAGTTTCCTTGAATCTATGCACTTTATCCAGCCCGGGGGCACGTTGTTGCATTAAAGACTGCTGATCCCTGGTCCCCTGTCTTCCCACGTGTCCCGGTCCATTCCTCTGTCAAAGGCTTGCCTGCCCAGTGTTCTACCTAGGACAGGAATCTGGGGCAGGAAGCTGACTGCTCTGCTAGGGAACTCAGTCCTTTCCTGATCTCTTCTTTTCACTTTCTTTGGAGTTGGCCTTTGCCTCTCCCTACTAGTGCTCAGCCTTAATTTCCTCCTTCAACAAATATTTGTGAAATATGTAATAGAGACTAACCTGTTCACAACACTGTTGCTCTCATACCATAGTCCTTTTGTATATTTAATGAGCATCCAGGTAATAAGCATGTGTAAGCATTGGATTCACAGAAATCACAGATAAAATTCTTCGCCTCAGACAGCCTCTCAGTCCAGTTCAATAGGAAGAAGTGACTTGTTAGGATCCCACTCAGGGTGGGTTCACTCTTTCAATGGCAAAGTGTCTGTTCTTTCCACTGTAAATGAATTGAACATCAGAGCCTGTAATTTGAAGGAGCCTAAATTCTTGTAAGGGCATTATTAATAATAGCAACTATTATTATTATATTTATTTAATTAGCTTCATATAGATCAGGCATTTTACAGAAATGACTCTGCTTAACTCTCACAACAACATCAAGAAAAAGCCATTGCTACTTCCCATTTTTACAGATTAAGAAATCAAGTTTGGAAATTTGGTGACTGGTTCAAATTCAGATCATGGATGTGAACCCAGGTAGCATTGTGTATTCACATGACACAGCCAGGTACATTGGACTAGTTAGTAATGTGCTAAGTATCACATATTAGAAGCATTGGGAGAGTTTCTGTGGTCTATTGAAGCTGGGTAGGAGAGAGAGGGTGGGAGGATGGAAAAGGAGCTTCAGGGAAGAGAAGGACAACATGGGACATGAGGTGGAGGGAGTGTGGACGTGAATGAGAAGGAAGCACAAGACAAAGTGGAGTCAGACAGAATAGAGTGATGATTCTTTGGAGAACAAGACAGATGAGGACACTAAGGACAGGAAAGGATTTGGATGGGGTGCATAGCATATTAATGATAGGCTAAGATCTGGTCTTGTGCCTTCTAACCCATTTCTTTTCCTGATCTTGTGGAGAAAGTTCTGGGAAATGAGTGAGGGTATTAATTCAGTGTCTGCAGGTTGACAGTGATAGATGGATGGAAGTTTCTCCTGCTTTTTTCCCCTCCTTGTCTCTCCAGGGATAGGTTGCCCACACTGCATTTGACTTCACACAAATCTGAAAAGAGACTTCATTAGAGAAGTGAATCATTTGTCAATGTAGAATCTCTCATAAGTGACTAGGAAATTACCATTTTGGATCAAAAATAGTTTTGCGGAGAATGTTCTAGATGGTATGATGCCATTTTAGACTGTATTATGTCAATAAAAGGGGATTTATCTTCCCGGAAAGATTTTAAACTTGACATTTCAAATAAAGAAAAAAATTAACAAAAATATAGTTCATGTAGTTTAAATATTCATCAGAGAATTGACGTACCCGATCTTAAATGAAAGTGCAACGTTATAGCTGGTACCATGTGGTTTTAGCATTAACTGTTGAAAGTAAAAATATGTTCACTTGGCTGTAAAGAAACTTATGACTCAAAAGGAAGAAAGAAATCCATTGTACATGGAACATTTTTATCCTGTACTCTCTCCCATAATACCATGTAGATCATTAAATGACTGAGATCAATCTCCACAAGTTGTCATTGGATTTTGGTTAACTGCAATACTTCTAAGTGTCTCAAGGCCATTATCAGTCACTTTACTTGACACTGCCAAGTGATCTACATCACTCACCTGGAAATCCTTTCAAAACTTTGTGGGAAAGGGTTGACTCTGTCCTACTTTGAGTACTAGCAGGTGATTAATTACTAAAAAAAAAATCGCCATATAAAACAATCTTATGTATTTTTTATTCCACTCATAAATATTTGTGGCAATGTTATTTAGTTTCTACAGATGGGTCAATCTCTGTAAATGTGCAGTGTTCCAAATGTGACAGAGGAATGTTAATTATCACCTGCAAAAACACATTATCTGTTTACATGAAATTGTAAATGTGCCCTACTGTAAATAATAAGAAAACTCAACTGTTAGCACAGAATTCTAGATGCCACACATTTGATCCTTTCTATGATATGACTTTTTATACTTTGTGGAAAGTTTGGCATTTTAAAAATAAGATGAAAACCATTCAGATTTTGACTGGTACACTATAAATATGGATTGACTTCCTGGTTCCTTTAATCCTGTTCTTGCTTTTTGTGGAACATTTACTTTTTATCTGTTTATACAACTTAGCTGTGTTCCATTTAAAATAAAGCTAAAAGCAAAGATTTGAATAGAAATTGGATGGTTTGTGATTGCTCAGTAGGCCAGGCAGAGGTTGAAATAGATTTGGAAACTAAATTATATATTTTTAACTCAGCAGCACAGCTTGCAGTGGGGAAATGAAAGGAACTGAACGGTTCTCTTTACTTCATCCCTCCAGGAACTCTCTCCCTTGTCTCTAGGTCTCTTGTTGGGGAGGAAAAGGGGAAAAGATGAGCAGGGAAGGTGGTTGAGAGAGGCTGCAGTGGACTTCTGAAGGGCAGAAGTCTTTCAGCCTCAGATGACTCAGTTCCTATCATGCTGACGTAGCTTGTCCCTGCTCAGAAGTGGCACGGGGTGGACTCTGCCACAGAGAGCTACAAAGTCATTCCTTTTCCTTCTTGTCCTCTTTTAACACTATTATATGCCTTTATAAAAAGATGTAGCTAGGGTGCTAGCCATGGGGAGATAGCTCAGGAGTCCTGCCCTTCCTCATTTTCCATTTATCCAAAGGGCACATATTAATCCTTTGCTTCTGAGTTTTGGTGGCACACAATCTCAAATAATTAATACTTCAGATATAGGTGATTACATCCCTTTCCATAGCCTTCCTGAAATGGAAACAAAACACTGCCATCAATTTTGCAAGGTTTCTCACTAACATAGTCGGACTTCACATTACCTGAGTTCTTCGTGGTTTTAAAAATATTTTCAAGTGCATTATTTGATAAGATTATTACATAAACATACAGATTATCAGGACAAGCATAATCCCTCTGTTAGAGAAGAGGCTGAGAGAGGCCCATTGAAATTTTCAAAGCCACTAAAACTTTATTGACAAAGTCAACTCATACCCCATCCTCAGATCCACAGGCATCTGACTGATGTTTCTGTCTACTTCTGCAGCTTCTTTGAATCATCCAATTTATCAAAAGTCAAACTGTCCTGAATATAACTTCTTGTAACTCAGTTAAGGAGTTACAAGAATAAGCAAACTTAAGTCCCCCAAGAGTAAAATGAGAACTGTTTATTCTCAACTTTTAATAATATTTACAATGAAGGCATAAACATGGAGACTTGTATTCATTTGTGTAAGTTTGGAGTGTTTCTCTGACACAAAACAATCTGTTCTTGTGCTGTCTTCAGATGATCATTATCTCAATCTAAAAAGTTTCAAATGTCAAAGTTTCTATTAAATGGCAAACCATAATCTTAAAAAGAATAGACGAAAAGTATATTTTAAAAAGAGCAAAAGAAAAAGAAAGCTTCATTTGCCAGGTCATTCATTAGTTCATTTGTTACTCCAGGATGTTGGGAGAGTATTGTGAAGAAAGAGCAACGTGGAGTTGTTAAAACAGGATTTGGAACCAGACTTGGTCTTCATGGATTTTACCTCTAGACAGAACGAAGAGGCAAATGTAACAAAGATAAAAATTCAGGGCAGTTGAGTAACATCAAGGAGAGAAACAAAATTGGCAGAGGAGTCTAGTCTACATAGATGGTGGTGGCCAAGGTATCTTTCCAGTTAAGGCCAAATGATGCCAAGCAAGGAAAGAAAAGGTTATTCTTAGGCAGTAAAACCACCAACCAAAACAAGCCAACTAAACAGGGAGACAAACAAAGCAAGTATGAAGATCCAAAGGTGAATAATAGATTGGTGGTAATTAGAGAGTGAAGGCTTTCTGTATGCCTGTAGTTAGAACATAAAACTGTAATCTTACAGACTGTGATAGGACTTGTCTGATTGCTATGTGAAGGAAGGTTTAGAAAGAGAGGAAACCAGGAGACTCATGATAGTGCTTTTGTGTTTAAGGGTTTTATTATTGTAGTTGTTTCTTTCCTTAACTAGACAGCTGTATGAAATAACATAGATGTTATTATTATTATCTACCATTTCTATTTTATGTGTATGCGTGTGTTACCTGCAGGAGTGTAAGGGCACCTGTGTTGTCCAATGACTGCATAATTCAGAACAGGGCATTGGATCCCTTGGAACCGGAGTTATGGATGGTTATTAGCTGTCATGTGAGTGCTGGGAACTGAAACTAGGTCCTCTGCAAGAGCAGTCAAAGGTCTTAATCACTGAGCCATCTCTCCAGCCCTGAAACAACATAGATGTAAGGTAGATGTAGTAAGGATGGATATAAGTGGACAAAGATGAGATTTTTAAAAATTTTGATTCACAAAAATTATATATTTAACATGGTGGTAAAGGAAAATAATTCTGACTCCTTGGTTTATATTTTGAGATACTAGAAAAGTATGG